CATGCCTCGGTCGTGGTGAGAGTTGAAAGCAGGGTCAACAAAAATATTTGGAGGTTAGCTGTGGGGTTTACACCCAGTACCTCCGTCTGACAATCGATGCAAGTCAGTATTCAGCTCTAAGTATGCAGTTTTCTGACATCGATAATCACTATTCTCCTATATACCTGACCATAGTCGCATGCAATTTATACAGAAAAAGTTGCATTGCGAAAGCCCCTCTTTCCCACACTGTCTGTGGGCACACTGCACAAATTAAAGCAGAATGAAGTAACAACAAGAACGTTTGAACTACTGGTCAGGAGTTGTATACTTTACTAAATTATACAATGTTTGTAACTTTTTCCATTGTTTCACATCAATCATATTCTTAGGTGTTTTCATCCGAAAGCAAAACCTCAAATGATAAAGCGGTTCCGTTTATTGTCCCACTCACTCGAATTGTCATATTTACCCCAACATTCGCCGCTATCCAAAGGAGGCCACTGGGTCCATATTCCCCCACTTGAACAGTATTCAATCGGATCTGTTTGAACGTCTCTGTCTATCGCATCGTCTTGTGTTTGTGATTGAACTTGATTACGATTTGCCTTTCCGAAACGAAGCATATAATTCGAGTATTCGTCCAGCGGTCTCAAATCGAATACGGATATGCACGAGTCCAGTTCTAATTCAATTAGGCGCCTTAGATCGGACGCGCGTTGTTTGAGACGTTGTTGTATTCGGTGTCGGCTGTCGTTCAAAGAACGATTAAAATCAATCAGTTGCGGAGAATTGGAGTTATCTCGACCTGTAGGTTGTTGTGATTCCACTGCGTTGGAGAAACAAACTGAATATTTTTCTTTGGATGACATATCGTTATCAGAATACCTGGATGAGCTTGAACTAGGAGCGACCTCATCAAAGTCACTAGTATATTCTTCATAGTCACTGTCTTGGCGCTCCGAAACACGGTAAGCTTCTTTTCTTTCGTCATTAGAATTTAATGAGCACGAATTTTCTCCTTCCACCTCATGTGTGAGTGAAACTTTAAAACATTCCTTTGACCTTGATTTTATATCATTTTCCTTAGCTAAGTCATCGGAAACACACCTCAACTTGTTTTCTCCTTCGTTTGCTGCCAATGTCTTGTCCATTCGCTCAATGCATTTTTTTGCATTTTCCGTTTCAGCGGAAGCCTTTGCCGTAGAAGTCACTTCTTCTTCATCATTGGGCCTTAAATTGTGTGAACATAAGTTTGAGTCGTTTCTGTTATCAGTCGGTCTCTTTATCATCCTTTCTGTGCTCTCCCTTCGTTCCATCATTCCAGAATCACCAGGAATTTTTACTTTTATGTGTGTTATTTCTTTCTTATGTTCACCACTGATACGTGAGGAAAATGTTTTCTTTTTTCCTGAGTCAATCTTGTGATGTCTCCGCTTTGATGTGATCTCACGCGACACTTCCTCGCCATGTTTCTCCGGATTTGAGCCGCTTTTCGCAGACTCTGCTATGTCTGATTTTGAAGTTTGTGCTAATTCATGTCCGTAATAGCTGGGATTTTCCCAACTGTCGCCGGCTTCGTGACTAGAAAGACCGGGATACTTTTTGGTCTTTGGTACTGATGAATGACCAGATTTGTACGTGTGATGGTTTTCGCCAACGGGTTCTTTGGATCGATTATGGTTCATGGTACGATCTGTTTTGCGGTGGCTTCTGGAAACCGGCTTTCGTGTTGTACCATGATCGTTTCTGTGCTCCGTTGGCATTGGCTACAAGAAAAGTTGGTCAGGCGAGTATCATTAAAAAGTGATTGAAAAATTAAAAATTAATGATAGCCAGACGTAGAAATGTTCAACAAAGAAGAAATGAGCACAATTTAAGGAAAATAAAACACTCGCTGATTACCAATCTGCTTAGTAAAATGATCCAAGGGATGAAGATTTTCGTTGGTCAGAGAAGTTAAGAGACATCGCCCGGAAATCAGTGGCGCAAACGCTGTGCGGTCAGCCGGTTACATTTCTATGCCCAATAAAAACCACAAACTAGCACACACAGAAATATCAAAAAGTGTACAGTGAAATGCACGAAATAGAGTGTTATGCTTCTCATCATAATCCATTTTATTTTCATCTCCATTTTATTCTGTTTGTTACCCCGACCAGGTAAATATGAATCAAATTAAACTACACTAGTGGCAAGTTTTATTCAGTAGAGATTAGCAACTAAACCAGAGAATGCCTCCAAAAGTCCTCCAATTGACCAGAAAATAATTATAATAAAAGTCAAGCAGAAACAGTCATTCTTGTTTGTTTTCTATACAATCCTACAGATCCTTTGTCATCAATTTTAGAATGCGATTCAGGTAGACCACCAATAATCCACAATAAACATTTAAATCAGATGAAATGTAATGGGAAGCTCCTGAATTCCACCGTTCATTGTGATGGGTCGGTAAATAGACTAGATTTGAGGCAATGGTCACGGTTGATAAGATGCTTGCAGGGCATTGTCTCGCAAGAGGTTTTATAAAAATTCACACCATTTGAGGACGACATTTTTAAAGGAAAGACGAAAAATAGGGATAATTTTACTGACCTGGTCATGGGCAAAGAGCAACACAATCCTCTAATACTTAAGTGTAAACTTTGATTCTAAAGGAAGACCCAGTAATGTTTAAGAACAAGCCTTGCTCAATAAGAGAATATCGTAGGTTTGGTTACAGGATAACAGCTTCGTTTCATGAAAGTAGATATGAAAGCCAGGGAGTTGCTGAATAATACCAGTCACGTAACACTGAAATCCATTCTAATATTGAGAAGTGTTTGGGCGTATACTAAATTGTTCGGAAAAAGTTTAGGTTTGTGACAAAAAGTCATACCCGATTAGAAAGGACCCAAAATATTAATCTCATACTGTCAGCAGGTTTAAAACCATTGAAGGCCAAATACAGACTGAGTGAAAGAATAGAGGTGAGCAAAAAAGACAAAGCCTTTAAATTTGCTAGTTAGATAAATGAAATATTCAATGAACGAAATGTCTAACACGGTTTAGCTCTCAAAACATCGAGGTTAGAAAAAATTGAATTTTGCAATCAATAACGACGAGTGTAGTTTAATTTGATGGATTGTGGCAGTGGATACAAACTTAAATGATTACACTGCTGATTTGCTTAAATCGTCTGAAACATACATGACTTTGCCCTTACGTTACACTCAAAGCACTCTCTCATTGTCTGTAAAAGTTAGAGCCATCTAAGGCATTCCACATTCCACTTTCGTTAAATGGATTACGTTTCTGGGGGAACTGATCAATTATTATCGCCATTTTACCCCCACCTGTTCCAGTATCCTTCTTTATTCCACGGATATGCTTCGCGATAACGCAAAAGACACCTACATTTCCGCAACGCATTAGACATTTAACACCGCAAATCAACCCTCTAGGAAGCCACCATGTTGTTTCAACTTAACTCATCTCCATCCACTCGATTGATACTGAGCACCTTGGCTTCCAGTCATGCTGTTGGAGTCACCCTTCACGGTCTCGGGTAAGCTGAAACACTTATGCGTCCAAAAGCCCCTAGATCTTTTGCCAAATCAGCTCTTCGCATTCCAAACAAATTGAATCACCTTTGGTCGTGGACGGCTGGATAGCGATCGCCATTCAACATTTTGGCTAACTTCTAGAAGATCTTCAGTTCCACATTGTGCCTGAAAACAAACCTCTAACGATTTCTCGTGCTCCGATCGCTAGTCTACATAGACTGATACATTAGTAAATGCAGCACCCTTTCCGCGAAAAACCCTCCCAGACATTTTTGCTTATCGTGGTGCCACTAAAGTTCAAATAATACTTCAGTCTTACTCAGTTAAGCTCAAAACACAGGAGGATATTTGGCACACGCTACACTTGAGTAATTGCATTAACTGGAATTGGCTAATCGTCCGTCAATTCTGTTGCGTTATCAGCTGAGTCTGTAGCTTTTGACACTGCGAATCTAGATAACATCAGAACTGGTCGCAGGAGGAGGCGTCCGAACCACACAGACCTTCCCGGTTTTGGTCACAGGTTCGATTGGGCATCAAGGTGTATTAAGCAAATTTGCTGTTTAACCCCGTCTTGAAGGGCCACCGGCCCCCAGTCAGTTACAGTTTTCACACAATGCCTCACTACACCGCGAAGTAAATGTTGACTATTCAAGGGCACTCTGCGTTATGAAGAATATTGCACCGTCATTTGTGATTTTTAGTAGAGGTAGTTCCAAGAGAGCAACGTGAAATCTGATTTGGGAAGAGTCCTCCTGCTGGCAGTCAGGTGAACCTTAACAGGTACGTATAACAGTATGTTTCCTTCCATTCCTGTTTCCGGCGCCGCAATGGGAACGGCAGTCTTTCACAGAAATGGCCTAGAGAGCACGTACCAAAATCTAATCAACTTGATGTGCCGTTCAACTGTATCAAGACAGTAGGTATTTTCTGGGGTGCTGGAAACAGACTTTGGCCACGACTAGCCGGTTGAGATCAGCAAATGTGACTGGGCGTTCACCATTTGCGCAAGACTAAGACAGACCTTCCCAAGAACATACCGAGTATATTCATCTAATGGAATAGTGTGTATATTCCAGTATTCTTCGGTTAGGAGAATATTACATCTCGGACCGTAGTTGATTGCGTCTTGAACTTCGCTAAAGAATTCACCTTTGATAGGCATTTCTGAACATAATGTTGGAGGGTATACAATGATAGCATTTCGGTTAGGTGGCTTACCTCTGAATGACACAATAACGATCCTGGTAGAGATTGATTTCCAGGAAATAATGGCACTGTTGGCTCAATAGGTCACGGAGAATGCTACTTCAGGCAAACCGGAGTTGTCAGTTGGTTCGCCGTGGTATAATCGGTAGGGTGCGTCAATATGTGATAAATTGATTTGTTTTGGAACAGCTAGGCAATCGGGCTTTGGAAAGATAACATATATCTACTTTGAATTCATCCAGTGAACGCATTGTAATTCAGTGGCTTCCTAACACTCTAGCAAGCTTCGTGGATGCTGATTCTGGTGTTAAGATGGTTTAAGTTAATCATGGTGTTGCTGGTGTCGAGACTGCGCTTTGTCAAGGCGAACGTCCACTTTTTGACTAAATTTCAGTCAGTAGCTGACTGTGCGCTGTACGTTTCAACGGGTCAACGGTTAAAGAACCAAGCGTCGATACTTATTTATTGTTTCGGTGTATGCACCGACCGATTGCTTTACACCTGGAATAAAGGGTGAATTATACAAGGACGTCTCTCGACTGCCTAAACGAGCACGGTCATCTGACATCGTGGTAGTCGCTGGAGACTTCAAAGCTCAAGTGGGATCCCTCAACGAATAAGAAAGGCTTCTTGGCAATAAACAATTACAGCCAGCCGGACGGACAAAGGAGAACACCTACTCCAACTTTGCGCTAACCACGGATTGATCCTGTAAAGCACTAACTTCTCGCACAAGAAACGACGCTGCTTCACACGGAAGTCGCCAACCTACTCACAGCGATCTATCCACTTCAATAGCGTCACCATTAGCTACCGCTGGAGGAGTCAACTTGAGACTGCCGCTCTCACTGGTCAACGCCTGTGGATACAGACCACGCTTTGCTGCGGGTCACATTCTCTTCAATCTTTTAAAATAGCCGCAATAAAGCCATCGTCAACGGATACCCACCATAAAATGTCAGCGATAGTTGCAATTCGGTCTTCGAAGCGGAACTCTTCGATTGCTTATTACCACCAGCCGAAGGAATCAATGACCACTGGGAGCAAATCAAAAACAAAGGCAGACTCCGGGGCAAATTCGAAGTGCAAAAATGGTTCACGTCGACCTTGGATGCCTTACTGGACGACCGTAAAACTCTTATGGATGGTGCAACTTGGATGTACTCTCTAAGATTTGGGAGTAATAAGAGGAACTGGACAGATGAGAAACAAGGTTTTAGAACTGAGCACCTAAGACCTTTTGCCATGACATACTTTAAGGTAGCCCACACCAACCGAGAGATTTTCCTTTGAAACCCTAAAAAGGGCCTTTGAATCAAAAGCCTGCTACAAGGGAGGAAAAGAATCAATTATANCTCCGTCTCATCGATGAAAGACCTTAAGTTTGGCATGCTCTCCTATGCACAGAGCACACGACACATGACATTGAATTTGAGAACAATTCCGTCAATCAGATCCGAGTTTACTCCATTCCGGAAATTTCAGATTACGGTGGATTTTTGTTGGTCCTCTTACTCTAAATCCTAAGCTCCGGAACGTTGCCGACCAACATGTATCCAGTAATACCTTGAAGATGTTAACATTGGTGTAGTTGATCACTTCTTCGGGTCACCTGTTCCGCACAGGTATGACCATGCGTGAGAAGTTGGTCCGTACCTCCGTGAAGGATTGCTTTTGTTGAAACTTGCAACCGTGACCTCTTGTGTGCTGAGAACGGGCAATCGTAAACAAATCATTTCAGTCCCGGTAGACCCCTCAGAATTTAAAAGGTTTTATAAGATCTCCCCTCTTTGTCTACGCTATATCTAGAAGATACTCAGATCTCTTAACCACTGCACATAACTTTTCACTTTTTGTCTACGCTCCCTTTCGGGTAGCTAGGCGCTGCACTTTTTCTAGGTATGCTATATTCATCCTGTACTCCAAGTGTCGGCAAACAAAATATTTGCACAGTGGGATAAAAATCTCAGCTGCATGCATTGTATTTTAGCGCACAACCTGAACAGCTGTCT